AGGAAATTTTCAAAAGAAGTGAAATAATGTCACCAGCTTTTTATTCCTCTGCTTGCTGAGCACCATTCAAAGAGGGAGTTAATGCTTTTTAGGAATCATCCCCTCCCAGGTGTGCAACCAGATACCAGTTTTCCTGAAGAAGTCTGCAAATCCCTTCCTTTCATCAATGCATTTAATTAGTTAATGCTTAGATAGAACTTAGGGATGTAAAGTACAATATAAGTGTTCAACATTATTATTACTTAACAGCTTTTATGAGACCAGAAATGCCTAAGATTAAATGAGAAACCAAAATGAGTTCCTGGCTAGAAGGTTGTGATCTAATAAATTGCTGGGTTACTGATGTGAGGAAAAACAAACCCTGCATATAAATTGAAATAGGTGCTCTTTATTAGCTTGCATGCCATTGTCTTAAGAATGTGGGTACTTTTTATTCTTTGCCTCAAGGTGTCAACAAGTAGCAAACCACCAGTCAGTACTGATTATGACTACATACATCCTGTTTTTTGAGAATATTATCTGCTGTATTTGTGCTGTTTATGCTGGATATCTGTACACCCAGGGTATGGATTCAAATACGTATGGGAATTTAGTACACAATAAAAGTGAGGAGAGATAAATTATTTAACAAATGATGTTGCGACAACTGGTTAGCCATCAGGGGAAAAAATAAAGCTGAATCTCTAACTCATTTCATAAAAAATGTAATTCCAGATAAATGGAAGATTTAAATATAAAAAGTAAACCATGAAAGTATTTTTAAACTATAAAAGTATTAGAGAAAAATGTTTATGTGGAGTAAGTATTTTGTAATCTTAGAAACCATAAAAAAGTGATAAATCTGAATATACAAAATTAAAAATCAGTACAGTACAAAATACCATTTACAAAGTCACATAACAGAAAACTGGGAAATATATTTCCTATTTATGTAAAAAGAATGCTGATTTCCTTAATATAATTTAAGTACAGGTTAATGAAATAAAAGGGCAATTCACAAAAACTAAGTATAGCCAATATAATATAAAAAAGATACTCAACCTTACTTACAATGAAAAAAATCAAAATCATAGTGTGAAGTTATTTTTTATTTATCAGAATGGCTAGGATTAAAAATATTGTTTACACAGAAAGTTAATGTGGGTGGAGGAAAACAGTCATTCTCAAGACACTGAATGGAAGTAAAAATTGGTTCCACCTTTTCAGAAGGCAAGTGGCAATATACATCAAACTGCAAAGCATGCATACCCTTTGACCTGGTAGTCTCATGTTAATGAACTTACCCTTACAGACTCATTCACACAAGAGTACAAGAAAACGTATGAGGGTGTTCACTGCAGTATTGGTTCTAATAGAGAAAAACGTCACAGATTAAAAATCAAGGTAACTCTATACTATGCAGCTAATAAAAGGATGAGGTAAACCTTTATGTATACTGAACGTGCACATATGTCCAGGTGTCCACAGTATAATCTTAAGTGGAAAAGGCAAGATGCAAAAAGGTAGTACTGATCCCATTTGCAAAAAAATTAAATATTCACATTTATGTATAGAGATGTCTGGAAGAAGACAGACTGGCTATAGTTAAACAAAAGCTACCTCTGCAGAGTGGGATGTAAGGGAGAGAAAGGCAGATGTTAAAAACAGAATTCTGCAACCACCAGAGAGATTAAGATAATAATCCCATTTATAATTGCATCAAAAAGAATAAAATACCTAAGAATAAATTTAACCAAGGAAGTGAAAGACTTGTACATTGAAAATTGAGACATTAATGAAAGAAATTGAAGATACAAGTAAATGGACAGATATTTCATGCTCATGGATTGGAAGAATCAATATGGTTAAAATGTCCATACTACCCCAAACAATATACAGATTCAATCCAATCCCTATCAAAATTCCAATGGCATCTTTTATGGAAACAGAACAAACAATCGAAATATTTGCATGGAACCACAAAAGACCCTGAATAGCCAAAGCAATCTTGAGAAAGCTGGAAGCATAACCCACTCTGATTTCAAACTATGTTACAGAGCTATAGTAATCAAAACAGTATGGGATTGGCATAAAAATAGACACATAGATCAACGGAATAGAAATAAACCCATGCATATATGGTCAATTAATTTATGACAAAGGAGCCAGAAATATACAGTGGGGAAAGGGAAGCCTCTTCAATAAATGGTGCTGGGGAAACGGGACAGCCACATGCAAAAGAATAAAACTGGACCACTGTCTTACACCATTTACAAAATTAGCTCAAAATGTATTAAAGACTTGAATGGAAGACCTGAAACCATCAAACTCCTAGAAGAAAACATAGGCAGTAAGCTCCTTGACATCGGTCTCGGAGATGACTTTTTTAATCTGGCACCAAAAGAAAAGGCAACAAAAGCAAAAATAAACAAGTTAGACTATATCAAACTGAAAAGCTACTGCATAGCAAAGAAAACCATCAACAAATGAAAAGGCAACCCCTGAATGGGAGAAAATAATTGCAAGTTATATATCTGATAAGGGGTTAATATCCAAAATATATAAAGAATACATACAATTCAACAGCAAAAAAAAAATCTAATTTAAAAATGGGCAGAGGATATGAATAGACATTTTTCCAAAGAAGACATACAGATGGCTAACAGTTACATGAAAAGGTGATCAACGTCACCAATCATCAGGGAAATGCAAATCAAAACCAAAATGAGATACCACCCCACACCTGTTAGAATGGCTATTATCAAAAAGGCAAATAACAAGTGCTGGTGAGAATGTGGAGAAAAGGGAACCCCATGTGAACTGTTTGTGAGAATGTAAACTGGTGCAGCTATTATAAAAAATGGTATGGAGGATCCTCAAAAAATTAAAAATAGAACTACCATATCATACAGTAATTCCAATTCTGGGCATTTATCTAAAGAAAACAAAAACACTCACCAGAAAAGATATATGCACCCCCATGTTCATTGCAGCGTTACTTACAATAGCCAAGATATGGAAGCAACCTAAGTGTCCAGTGATGGATGAATGGATAAAGATGTGGTGTGTGTGTGTGTGTGTGTGTGTGTGTATGTGTGTGTATACATATATATAGTGTGTATACATATATATATAGTGTGTATACACACACACACAATGGTATATTATTGAGCCATAAAAAAGAATGAAACCTTGCCATTTGCGACAACATGGATGGACCTTGACGGCATTATGCTAAGTGAAGTAAGTCAGACAAAGAAAGGCAAATACTGTATGATCTTACTCATATTTGGAATCTAAAACAAAACAAACCAGCTTATAGATACATAGAAGAGATTGGTGGTTGCCAGAGACAATAGGTGGTGGCTAAGTGAAGAAGGTGAAAGGAGTTAAAAGGTATTGGGATGCCATTTTGGGGAATATATCTTAAGGAAATAAGTTAATATTGGATTGGCCAAAAAGTTCGTTTGGTTTTTTCCATAAGATGGCTATAGTAGCACTTAGCTGTCTTTAACTTCATTCAAAACAATTTTGTTAGATTGTATTGTGACAGCTGTCATATCAGCGTGCGTTTAAAAAAAGACTTATCGGGACTTTCCTGGTGGCACAGTGGTTAAGAATCCGCCTGCTAATGCAGGGGACATGGGTTCAAGCCCTGGTCTGGGAAGATCCCACACGCCGTGGAGCAACTAAGCCCGTGAGCCACAACTACTGAGCCTGCGCTCTAGAGCCCACGAGCCACAACTACTGAAGCCCACGTGCCTAGAGCCCATGCTCTGCAACAAGAGAAGTCACCACAATGAGAGGCCCGCACACCACAACAAAGAGTAGCCCCTGCTCGCCACAACTAGAGAAAGCCCATGAGCATCAACGAAGACCCAACACAGCCAAAAATAAATAAATTTATTTTAAAACATAAAAAAAGAAAAGAAAAAAAGACTTAACAAAACTGGTGAATTTTTGTGTAGCCATTTTAATATTGATGATGGAAGAAAAACAACATTTTTGGCATATTATGTTTTATTATTTTAAGAAAGGTAAAAACACAACAGAAACGCAAAAAAAAAGATTTGTTTAGTGTATGGAGAAGGTGCTGTGACTGATCGAATGTGCCAAAAGTGGTTTGCGAAGTTTCATGCTGGAGATTTCTCCCTGGACGATGCTCCACGGTTGGGTAGACCAGTTGAAGTTGATAGGGATCAAATCGAGACATTAATTGAGAACAATCAACGTTATACCACGTGGGAGATAGCCGACATACTCAAAATATCCAAATCAAGCAATGAAAATCATTTGCACCAGCTTGCTTATGGTAATCGCTTTACTGTTTGGGTTCCACATAAGTGAAAAAAACCTTCTTGACCATATTTCTGCATGTGATTCTCTACTGAAACGTAATGAAAATGTTCTGTTTTCAAAACAAATTGTGACAGGCGATGAAAAGTGGATACTGTACAATAATGTGGAACGGAAGAGATCATGGGACAAGTGAAATGAACCACCACCAACAATACCAAAGGCCGGTCTTCATCTAAAGAAGGTGATGTTGTGTATATGGTGGGATTGGAAAGGAGTCCTTTATTATGAGTTCCTTCCGGAAAACGAAACGATTAATTCCAACAAGTACTGCTCCCAGTTAGACCAACTGAAAGCAGCACTCGATGAAAAGCGTCCAGAATTAGTCAACAGAAAATGCATAATCTTCCATCAGGATAACGCAAGACCTCATGTTTCTTTGATGACCAGGCAAAAACTGTTACACCTTGGCTGGGAAGTTCTGATTCATCTGCCATATTCACCAGACTTTGCACCTTCGGATTTCCATTTATTTAGGTCTTTACAAAATCTCTTAATAGAAAAAGTTTCAATTCCCTGGAAGACGGTAAAACGCACCTGGAACAGTTCTTTGCTCAGAAAGATAAAAAGTTTTAGGAAGACGGAATTATGAAGTTGCCTGAAAAATGGCAGAAGGCAGTGGAACAAAAGGGTGAATACGTTGTTCAATACAGTTCTTGGTGAAAATGAAAAATGTGTCTTTTATTTTTACTTAAAAACCAAAGGCACTTTTTGGCCAACCCTATACAAACTTCCATTTATAAAATAAATAAGTCACGTGGATATAATTTACAGCATCATGACTATAGTTATGATGCTATATTGCATATTTGAAAGTTGCTAAGAGGGTAGATCTTAAAAGTTCTTATGATAAGAAAAAAATTTTGTAACTATGTGCGGTGATGGATGTTAACTAGACTTACTGTGGTGATCATTTTGCAAGACATACAGATATCGGAAATTACATTGCACAACCTGAAACTAATGTAATGTTAATGTCAATTATACCTCAGTTTAAAAAATCTATCAGAGAGATTCAGATAAAGATGATAACTTCTTAAAAGTAAAGGAGTAGTAGTAAGAGTGGAAAGGGAAGGAAAATTTTAAGAAAAAATTTAGTGGCACTGGAAGAGCATGTTGGTGATTGTGTGAATGATATTTGTAATAAAATGTTAAACTCTTTTGATGTTTGACTGCAAATAGCTTTTAAGCCTCACACCTGCTGGGCAAGCTGATAGGGAAGCCCAAGCACCTACAGGAGATTCAAACCACCCAATCTCCTGTCTTTCTAGGTCAGTCCTCACCCAGGCCCACCCCCTAACCACAATAAAAGCCTCAAGCCAGTCTGCTTTCCTTGCTCTCTCCAGCCATTTTGGACCAGCTTGGGACTGCTCTGCTCATCCCATAAACCTCCATTATGTAAGTAACAAATCTTTTTGCACCTTCACAAATATGTATGTATATAATTTTGTATTTTTTAATGTTTAAATTAATATGAATTGCTACTTTTATAATAAATGCTTAAATTGTTAAAAAAACAATGACAGTGCTACAAAGCATGGCTTTAGAAATAAATACATGTAATTTGCGTATGCATGTATATAAGCATTATGAAAATGTAGAGAACCTTCCATTTTGTTGGTATTATATGACCTGTGTTTTCACTTATCTTCATGTTTATTTTCACAAAAGTTCTTGAAAATTGCCTATCAGTGAACCTGTCATGGCCACATAAGACTCAGTGCTTGTATCCAAGGAGACCTGTCTGTCTAATCAGAATGTTCCCTGACTTACGGGTTTTTTAGGTTTCAGAAGGTAACATTGCCCCATTCAATTAGAATGATTTATAAGATATGCATAGTGTCAATAGCCATATCTAATACTAGGCAATTGAAGGTTGGTTTTTGTTTGCATAATTATCACTGAATTCTAGACATTTAATCTTATCTTCTTAAATACCTAACTGGGAGTTAGTAAGTAAGCAGTTGGTTAGGATGAATACTGAAGTTTTTACAAATCTCACTTAAATGTTTTAAATGCCCTTCTCCAGCTTTGCTGGGCCAGGGCTTTTTCCCTCCTGACCTAGCAGAAACGACCTTCCCCTCACTGCTCCATCCCGAGGCACGTTACTTGATTTTGATCAGCTGGTTGGTCTCGACATTCCAATCGTTTTAGATTGTGTTTTTGTAATCAACAGGAGGAGAAACAGAATTGGTATCATATTTAAAAAATCCACTCCCCATCCATTCAGAGGTCACAATCATTTCACATAACCCAGGGCATTATGCAGGAGAAGTATGTTGCCCAGTCTGAACACTTTTACCACTTAGTTTGGTGTCAATCCAAGAAAAGGTCAACATATTGCCACCTGTGACATGTTTAGAGGTTCAGTAAAATCTAAATGGAAAAGTGCCCTAAGGTAGGAAGCCCGGTAACAGTCAACTTTCCGGAGGGCTGAGAGTGGACGGTCTGTCATCTGGTCCAGTGTCTAACACCCTTCTCCACACCACCCGGGTGGCCTGCCTTTCTTGGTTCTATCATCTCTGTACCACTGGGCTGGAAGAAGAGAGAGACTCTCCTCTAGATTCATTCACTACTGCTGGTAGGCAGCTCTAGCAAAGGGAAACTCTCCACTAGGTCAGAATTTTGTATGAGTTGTAGAGGTTTGTTTTCCTTGGGCTTCCTGTCCTTCAGGAGCATGGTTCATTGAAAAAGGGTTTCACTTAGTCCCTCACAATGCCTACCCCACCACTTTTTTTTTAAGTGAAGAGAGCTCAGCTAATTGAAACTCCAAGCAGTTGTAGAGCAGCATATGTAAACTAGGAGAAGAGTTTTCATTGGTTACCCCTTTTATTACATTTCTTTAAACTGAGGTGTAAAATACATGAGGTAAGATGCACAGATCTGAAGTATACAGCTCAGTGACCTTTTAAACATGTGTGTGAAAATACCTGTTCTCTTGGCCTCCAGCCTCAACCACTGCAGCCTATTCTCTATGCCATCACCAGAAGGATCTTACTAAAATACAGATTTGACCGAACAATAAGAATAATGACATCAGCTGTTGCACCACCCTCACAGCAGTGATTAACTGTTAATATGTGCCAATCACTGTCCTAAGCTTTTAAATTCATGACCTCCTTTAAGATAACGCAAGTCAAGCACTTAGAACATTGGCAGGCACACAGCGAGCATTAAATAAGTAACTATTATTACTCGCAAGACCCCTGAAGGTCAGTATTTTTATCGTAACCAATTTATAGGTGATAGAACTGAGGCTTAGAAGGATTGAGTCATTTGCCCAAGGTCACCAAGCTTGGGTGTGTAGAGTAGGGAGCTGGGTTCCCAGAGCCCAAGTGCTACACATTAGGCTTTAGTGCTGTCCTAGAGCTGGCATTTCTTTAATGAAAACTCCGGAGGCCTCTTCAGCCCCTATGGGATGAGGTCTCAACTCCTTAGCAGGCCCTACAAGGGCTTCCCACAAGCTAGGTACAGCCTGTCTTTCCACACTTGCTTCTGGTTTTTATCTGCCATGCATCAATCTCCTGCTCTCTAACTAACTACCATTCATTGCTATGACCAGGTATGAGTTCTGGGTACTTCTGTATCTATTTCCAATTCTTACTGCAACTGTCCAAAACAGTATCATACTCATTTTACATATAAGTACACTGAGACATAGGAAGATTACGGGACTTGTTTCATGGTCAGAGAGCTCAATCAAAGCTGGAGTCTGAACTGGGTCGTCTGATTGCAGTGTGTGATCCTTCCTACTCGGCTGCCATTCCCCTCAAGTCACGTGCTCTCATACCTGGCTCAAGTGTCCCCTAGTTTCTAAGGCCTTTTTGACTCTGGCCACCAATTTACCCCTGTTGCTCTGCTGCTTTCCACAGGTCTAAACAGACGACTAGTTAAGGAAGAATGGCTCTTGCTCTATTTCTATTCTAGGCCTTTCCAAGTGCATTCGACCTCTGCATTAGAAAAGCTGAAACTGAGTACTTCTGGAATATTCCTAGGGCAGGCCCTGGAATGACAGCTCTGTCCAAACAAAATGGCAGGTCTTTGGCCAGATGGGGTTATGGGCTAATGGCATGAACACAGAGGGCAAATGGAGAAGTTGCTGCCAGTTAAACGCCATGTGTACTTTAGCAGAACCTCTTGGGGCTGTGTGATTCATGCACTCCTGGGACATGGATAATTCCTGAGGGATGAGCTAGCCAGCTCCTCAAACATGAGGACAACTGGAAGATGAATTCTTTGGCAGCTGGAAAGGCCGTAGTGGGCAATTTTTGAACTGATCTTGAAAAGCATTTTATCATTGGAATAGCTAACATTCTTGTTGATTACGCAGAATGAAAAATACCAAAGCATTTGAACATTTGGTACATGTTCAGTTCCTTCGGTACCTCAAAAGTGAGTATTAATGTGCAATCTGCATAAGTCTCACAACTTGGGAAGCGGCTGGCTCTGCAACGACCTCCCGACAAACCACGGCAGCATTCGGTTGTGATCATTCAATCATACTTGTATTTAAGATTATAAAATAAGTCACTTGATTCTTTAGCACATTATTCTTCCATAAATTTAAACTACATACATGTTTTAAGTCCCAAGCTAAAAATTCTCATTGTTAAGAAAAAGTACAGAAATCCAACTCAGAATCAGCACAATTATTAAAATAATTTACAAAGTATTTTGGGTGGACAAGGTGATTCCAAAGTTGATCTACAAGAATAAAAGCACAGGCGTAATAAATCAATTTTGTAAAACGAGAATATGAGGTTGTATTTACACTACCAGACATCAAAATATATCATACAATTCAAATAATTGGTGCTGGCATCAGAATTGCTATCGAGGAAGTGGAAGTGACTGCTCAGAAACAGATCCCAGAACACACATGTAATTAGGTTATGATAAATATGGAATAAAAAGTAGCAGAGGAAGGATTGATTATTTAAAAAAAGGAGCTGAAATGACTGCTTACCCATTTGGGGGAAAATCAATCTACATCCTCACTTTATATCATGAAGTAGAATAAATCCTGGACATTTATTAAATTATTAAACATATAAAATTATTTTTAAAAGACAAGAAAATGCAAATGATCATTATCTGATCTAAGCATGGTGACAGGCTTTTCAGGCTTTAAAGCCATGGAAAAATATCTCACAAGGGGAAAAATGGACAGATCTGGAAACATAAGTTAAACTTCTATTTACCAAAAAACATCATATATAAAATTCAAGGGCAAACAACCAAACTAGGGAAAATATCACACGTAAAGTGTTGATAGCCTAATATAGAAGGAGCTCACATAAACTGAAAAAACAGCCTACCCCCAAATGGGCAAAAGATATAATCAAACAACTCATAAAAAAAATGGAATTAGCAATAAACATATAAAAATGTTTAGCCTCACAAATCATAAAAAGTAGATATGCAAAGTCAAAAAGGAGAAAATTTTTTTTGCCTCTAATATTACCAGAGAGTTGCAGTTTTTAAATGACAATGGTTAATGCTCCAGTGATATAAAGAGAGAATTTGCTTACACTGTAGGTGTGGGTATAGATACAGTAAATTGTATCTAAAGCTTTTAAAAAGTTCAAACTCTCTACTCTAGTAGTTACTCAGGTGAATTTATCTTAAATAGTGAGAAAGTAAGTGATTCTGGAACAAGGATGTATATCATAGTATTATTTATAATACTATACTAATAATACTATAATACATAGTATTATTTATAGTAGTTACTCAGGTGAATTTATCTTAAATAGTGAGAAAGTAAGTGATTCTGGAACAAGGATGTATATCATAGCATTATTATATATCATAGTATTATTTCCAATACAAAATTGGAAACCCCAAAATGTTCAATAAAAAGGAGGTTAAAGTAACTACAGCAATGGGATCTTCACATAGGTATTAACAATCTTCAGAAGCAGTGGGTATTTTTAAGTTAAAAGCAAGATAAAAATTTTTATGCTGTAAAGAATGGCCATGTTTCATACCTATGAATGCATAGAAAAGAACTCGCTGGATGTGTGTCTCAGTGTTAACTGTGGTGGGGGCTTATGATAACAGCAGCAGCAACTAGCCCTGGCCAGGTCTGTGACCTCCTTCAATCCTGGCATCACCAGTGCAGGGATCTCGCCACCCCTGCTTTTATAGATGAGTGGTACACTGAGTAGTGGGGCTCAAACTCAGGTCTTCAAGGGCTGCGATCTGAACCTCTCTGCCATGCTGCCAGGATGGTTATTTTCTCTCAGTAACTGCCTATACTCCCCAAATTCTCTGCAATGAGTATACTGTTATAATCTGGGAGAAAAACACCACTTTTTAAAAAGCGATTTGGGGCCAAGAGGCCCCTGGAAGTTTTGTGTTCTGTCCCCTGACAGCCTGCGGTATGGGAGACTGTTCTGCCACTGAGTCCTCTCACTCTTCCCCCTGGCTCTGGGTTCTCCTTCAATTTCCATTTCCATTCCCTTTCTCCTACTCATTCCATTGTAAATCTCGGAGTCACTTTGCCTACCGAGGGGGCAAAGCCCTTGGTGCATGGCAGAGCCATCCCAGGGCTGGTCTGGCCTACTCATTCTCTTTCCTTTGCCTCCCTCTTTTCCTTCCCTCCTGCCTACCCTTAGCCTTTCCAGCACCCCCTGAGAATAAGCCTGGTTCAAAGTTCTGGTTTAACAAAACAAAACAGGGCATCCTGGGGTTAATTCTGGGCTGGCCTTTCACAGTTCTATGATTAAATTGCATTTTTCAGTGGTTCTGCCTTTAAACTCAAACTCTTTTTAAAGAGAAATTTAAGGAGAGCAAAACACAGGAAACAGTGCCAAATGCCAATAACATATTTTAGTCATTTGGGGAATGGGCAGCTTTAGAAACCACAAATTCCCACTTATGCAAGGGCTACTTGAGCTTTTTCTTTATTGCTTAGTGACAGAAGCCTGGCTTTAGACCATGGTCAGAGTTGTTCTTTTGTTTTCTTTTCTCTCTCTCCGAAAACAGTTATAAAAGGCCTGAGCTATCACAACGAGAGTTGGCTACTCCTACAGCTCTAATCAAATAACAAAAATCATTTTCCACTGATGTAGTTAGTCCAGATTAAAAGGCAGATCCAAGTCTATGTCTTGGTACCTGCTATACCTGCTCAACAAGCTCAGTCAGGTGGAAACATGCACTCAAAACTTGGGAAGCTCCACCCATGTGACCTCACCACCAATTGGCAAGGCTTTGGCACCACGTGTTCAGTTAGGTGTTCTGTCTCTTTTCTCCCAAAGAAAATAACTGAAAAGGGAAGATAAGATGTGAGTATTGTTTTGTGACTATGCTTTCTAAAACAATGGCTGGCACAACACAAAACGGAAAGAATCCCAGACAGCTCTCTTCTGTGGCCTTAGATCTATTCTGACCATCAGGGACTATGAACCCTAACGCCAGAATCCGATGATGAGGTTCTTCTAAGCCCCTGGAGTTAGATTAAGGTGTGGCCCAGCCAGTCCTGGGGCGTGAACTGGTAAACTGTACTACATTCTCACCAAATAAATTGGAAATAAGGAGCCAGTGAGGCTGGGTTTCCATAGCCACTCCTTAAATTACTGGTAATTGTGCACTAGTCCCACTTGAGGATAAGAAGATAGCAATGACATTTTAAAACAGCTTCCTTATATAGAGTACTGAGCATTTTGGTAGTAAGCATGTGTAAGGTGTACAGAGTAACTACAAGCCAGGGAAAAAGTTCTGCAATGAAGCAGCTGACAGTCATCTGAAGTAGCAATCAACTAACATAGGTGCAAGAGATTAATTTTTGTTAAATAAAGACTAAACTGATTCCATAAAAATTGCAAACAAAAAACCTAGAGAAAATAAGAACTATAGAAAAGTTGGAAAAAGATGCAAATATCCTCAATAAAATACTAGCAAATTGAATCCAGCAACATATAAAAAGAATTAGATACTATGATCAATTGGGATTTGTCCCAGGGATGCAAGGTTGGTTTAACATCTGAAAATCAAACAATGTAATAGTTTGACTACATTAAATTACCAAGGACAAAAACCATTGATCTCAATAGATGCATAAAAAGCATTTGACAAAATCCAACACCTCTTCATAATAAACACTCAACAAACTAGGAAAAGAAGCCTGTATTAGGTTGAGGAAATTACCTGTCTATGAAAAAGTCAGTTCATCCTGAATGGTGAAAAACTAAATGCCTTCTCCTCTAAGATCACGAACAGACTCACCACATGTATTCAACATTGTACTAGAGGTTCTAGCCAGGGTAATTAGGCAAGAAAAAGAAATTTAAAACTCCAGATTGAAAAGGAAGATGTAAAACCATCTCTAGTCTCAGATGACAAGATCTGGTATATAGAAAAGCTAAAAACATTTTGCTGACATGAAAGTCATAAAAAAAAAAAAACTTTTATATTTTTTAACAAGACTTTGTAACTATATTCAAGTATGGTGCTTATACTCTTGGAGAGTCTGAGTGGTTAACACTATCCAGTTCAGAGTTATGGAAACATTTATTAGAAATTCCATTCAATAAGCTAAAAAGATAATGTTACTGTCAGAGCATGTAATAAATTCCTCATTTTCAATATAAAGAGGTATATATGTATTTTTTTTTAAATTTATTTAATTTATTTTTGGCTGCGTTGGGTCTTCGTTGCTGTGCGCGGGCTTTCTCTAGTTGCGGCAAGTGGGGGCTACTCTTCATTGCAGTGCGTGGGCTTCTCATTGCAGTAGCTTCTCTTGTTGCAGAGCACAGGCTCTAGGTGTGCGGGCTTCAGTAGCTGTAGTACGTGGGCTCAGTAGTTGTGGCTCGCGGGCTCTAGAGCGCAGGCTCAGTAGTTGTGGCGCATGGGCTTAGTTGCTCTGCAGCATGTGGGATCTTCCCGGACCAGGGCTTGAACCCATGTCCCCTGCATTGGCAGGCAGATTCTTAACCACTGCGCCACCAGGGAAGCCCTATATGTATTTTTTTTTTTTTTTTGCGGTACGCGGGCCTCGCACTGTTGTGGCCTCCCCCGTTGTGGAGCACAGGCTCCGGACGCACAGGCTCAGTGGCCATGGCTCATGGGCCCAGCCGCTCCACGGCACGTGGGATCTTCCCGGACCGGGGCACGAACCCGTGTCCCCTGCATCGGCAGGTGGACTCTCAACCACTGTGCCACCAGGGAAGCCCTATATGTATTTTTATTAGTAGAAAATCAGTTTCTCTTCCCCTATCTACTAAACATATTAAATACTATTTAAGTACATATTGAAAATAGGTTTAAAGAGTATCAATGAGTAGGATGCCAAGTTATTAGCTGCCTTGGTATCCACATATTTCAGTCTGGCCCTATCTCCTGCAGGTACTCTGGGTCATGGCTACTCCCAAGAGAACAAAGATGACATTAGTGTGATAGGTCTGTTCCAGCTCCCCTTGCACTAGACCATAAAAGACTGCATATGGACATGGGGCTTAGAGTCAACTAGAAACAAGCTATTGCCATCTGCTGCTAAAACTGAGGCCAAAGGGTAGATGAGGATGAGAACCTACATGTCTCCCTACAAAGATCATTTAAGGCACAAGGGACAGCCATGTAAGGGAGAAGGCTACTCAGACATCTTAGAGCTAGTAAAATAAAAGCTCCATGCAAGCCAGTAATATCCGCTGAGAGTGATCCAGGTGCTTGGGAACGTCTTGGTCTGAGCCTAGTTTATATTC